TGAAACTTAATTTTGACTATTCGTTGCATCTTTATTTTCGATATATTAAATTAAGTAGTCATTTATTTTCCACTGTCGTGCGAATTTTGGTTAATTTGAGCCCTAACTGTCAGAAAGGGTAAAGGCCGTACAGAAACATTTTTACCTGGTAGCTACCGTAGTACATTGCAGTAATGTTAGTCCAGCTTAATGATGCTATAGTTTGAATACATTTATAAAGTAAAATAAAAAAAGCTTTTTAGAACTATATACATTACACATATGTCAAGACAAAGTTCGCCAGGTTCGGTTTGTACTGACAACACCCTACACAAAAACAATGAAATAATTCCGATAAATAAATTTGTGAGCAAAGCTTTTTTGTTTTTAAACAAAAGTATATCTGTATCTGTAGATACTCATATCTCTAGGCTTAAAAAAAAACTTGCAATGATGACTCGGCAGAAATGTTTATTATTATAATTTCGATAAAACAAAGCGGAGGCAGTGTGTTCATTTTATGTATAATAGAAGCTTAACAACATTATTCAATAAGAAAAAAATTCATTTTAATGACAATAACCAAATAAATGTGTAGTGCAAATTTAGGCAATTAAGATAAATATTTGTTTAAGGGGGCAGAGAATAAATTCCATTAAATTCATCTAATTTTAACTCGATAGTTTCTATTCATATATATATACATTGGTTTATAGAATTGTGTATTATTAAATATTAAATAGAATTTTCCTTCAGGTAATTAAGTTCCTAGTAAGACAACAGTAGCATAAAATATAAAAAAGTGTTGTTAATGGTCAAACTATGTATGATTAATTGTCCTACTCTAGATACAGATACTAATGTACATTTATTTGTTTAACCTATAATTCAACTAACATTTTTAATGGAAGAATGTAATTTAACCAGAGCACCCTTTTCGAAATAACACATTTAGGTCGTAGATTTATAAATGCTGTTAAAATACATTGATTGCGTTTCTTCGATAAGCTTATTCCAATGTACTCGTATCTTGCATTTAATATTTGAAAACAGTTGATATATATATATAAAATAAAGTCAAATTTAACGTCAATTATTTTATATCGATTTTATGAAAAAATTTTTTTATGAAGTCATTGAATCCATTAGAATTCATATTGTTGGTAGCGATGTAGAAGCTTAAAGTGGTAAGTCAGGAACTTCTGACCAAGAAAGACTGCACAAGGTAGGCTAACCTGAAAAAAGAACAAAATGATAGAGGTTTACATATTCTAAATTATTTTTAAAAAGGTTTTTTGAACAGTAGTGAACTACAACAACAAATATTTATTTTATATAGATAAGTAATTTGACAGACACGACAGGGTATCGAGTTGCCAACAATAATCCATCATCACGGCCTGAAAATAATAGTCATTTATATCTTAATAATTTTTTTTGAGACTGCAAGTACCAGGAATTGAACTCGGGTCCCGCCAAATTTGAAGCTCAGAGTCAGAGCACTTTAACCAACTAACCCAAAATTATTTTTGGAATTTGTTTTAAATATACTTATCTGGTTGTTACGAATTTACATGTTATTACATCAAAAGATTCTTGTATCATCCCGTCTTTGTTTGTTTCTACAATAATAATAGCTTCTACTGAATAATTAATTCAGTGCTGGTAAAAAATCTATCGAAATGATCAAAAAAGTGTTTTAAGCTACTCCAATATTTCACCACTATAATCTAATTGTAACCATATAATAAAATAGAAATGTTTTTTAAATCAAAAATTGGAAAGATATTATTTAAGATATACATAAATGTGTCATTTCCATATTAGGTACTTATGAACCCATTATCATTTAATATAAGCGCGATATTCGTTCATAAGAAATGTTATTTTTAATATATTTTTATAATTAATTTATTTCAAAATTTAGTTCAATTGTGATTTTTACAAAAAAAGATAGATTTTTTTCAGAAAGTGTTAAATATTTAGTATCTAAACTTTTAGTTTTATTAACAAATTAACATATTTTTATGAATTTAAAAATAATAACACTCAGTCTCTATATTCGCAGAATAGAATAGTGCGAGATCCAAAGCTGATAAATGGTAACTGATCACCACTCGAAAATATCGCTTTCTATTATGAAATGTTATTGGAGTTAGTGTAAGAAAATGTTAAGTGAATATTTAGAAAAAGTAATCGGTTATTAGATTTAAATTTTATCAACTTTTTAATTCTTTTCTATCGATATTTGAACTATCGATATTTTTACTATGTATCGATGTTGTCAAGGAATTTTCAATAATGAATAAAATCATTTTTTAAAATTTATTAATATTTATAATAAATAAATATATAAGAATATTATTTTTAGAGTTTAATAAAATTTTGAGCACCTTTCCTTAGCTATTCTATTAAAAAATTTGAAGTTCTTTGACTTGTTATTCATATATTAGTTACAGACTTTTTATTTGAGATATTTATTGTTGTTACTTTATTTTAAAATGGGTTATTTAACGTCTATATAGTAAAATATACAAAAAACCAAAAAATTAATATATATCTTTAATTATAAACATCGTCACCTGTCTTAATATACTGTATATAACATTTGATTATTTAATTTGCTTTATTTTATTAATAAATAAAAGCCCTTTTTTTCTATAATTAAAGTGAGCTTATACAAAAATAACTAATAATTTCTTTTCATTTCATCGAGATCAGAATTTTATAACTTTAAATATTCTTCCATAAACACTTTCTTAAAAGGTACACCCAGTAGTATCTTTGTCTAATATGCAGTTTCAGAATTTAAATGTACTTTACTTTCTATTAAAGCTTCTTATAGAGATTTAAAAAATACTATTGATGAAGAAAACAGTGATATTGAATGTTCTTCTATATTCTATAAACACTTTCTTAGAAGGTTAACTCAAAGTAGTATCTTTGTCTGATATGTAGTTTCAGAACTCAAATGTACTTTCCGTTAAAGCTTCTTATAGGGATTCAGTATAAGTACTACTGATGAAGAAATCTTGTACTGAAATTCAAAATAAGTAATTTTTTTAAATAAGAAACCCATTCTAAACAAAAAGCACTTGCGATATATATATACCAATTTTGCCATGTAGTGTCCTAAAATTTGCACATTAATGTCTCTTATCAAAGAAATATTTTATATGCAAATAATAAATATATATCGTTCTTTCTTTTATGCCTCCATTAGCAACTTTATACTTTACCTAATAGGTTTATAATATAACTGACTAACTTACGACTGTAGATATATTAATTAAAAATAAGAAAAGTGGTTGTAATTCAAAAACATAATTTCTCCTACATAAGCATATGCAGATAATAGATAGGGTCGAATCTAAGATTTACTCTCATTAATATGTATTACATTTTACAGATAGGTGAGGTTGGAGTGACGGTTTTTTGAACCAAGGTCCACTTAAGCGCAAATAATGGCCGGTTATGATAATACAAATGACTTACGTCAAACTAAAATAAAATTAATTTTCAAATAAAGAAGTCTATCTATTTCTTGAATATGTTAGGCAATAACAATAATACCTAGCGATTAAATATCGATATCATTAGATTAGATGAAATTAAAATATATAAATTTATTATCCGTGAAATACACACTGTGAAATGCAATAACTCAGCACTTTCTTCTTATCATCTTTCTTCTTATAATTATAACTATATGTTTTATACTGATTTATATAAAATAACCAAATAATTCAGATTGAAACTATCTTATCATTGTCATTTCTTATGTATGCAAACAACTTAAAACACCTTATAGAGTTCATTTAATTAAATTTGTTAGTTAGTTTTTATTTACTAGCACATCATCGCATTTAATCATTAGTTTTACATCAACATTATTTTATCTTATCATTATGTTAAATATACTTTAATTAAATATTTTTAAAAATCAATTTAAATCAGCTAATTTAGCCTGTATTCTCTCGACAATCGCTTGTATGCCAACAGCGCTAACTTCTTCATAATATGGCAACTCTTTCATACGCTCAAACCATGCAGCCAATTTTGGAGTTTTACTTACGTCCACTGGTGATATCGGTGCCAGTGATGATACCGACGATACAATACTGAAATCAGCGATTGTCAATTTATTTCCGGCAAAGTATTCGTGATCACCGAAAAATTTTTCCAGTGTTTCGTATGCCTCATTAATAGCTTTTATACGTTCAGCCACTACCTCCTTAGTGGGCGTGCCGTGGAATACAACAGCAACTAGCTGTCGAATACATGCAGTGAAAAGAACACCATTTTCAAAATGTAAGCGTTGATCCACTACGGCACGTTCATAGAAATCTTTCGGATACAAAGAATCATCTTTAGCGTATTTTCGTACTAAATATGCGATAATGGCGTGCGAGTCCCATATACATTTTCCATCATCCTCAAGAAGTGGCATAGTGTGTTGTGGATTTTTCTGCAAATATTCTGGTTGCAAGTGCTCACCAGCAGCTACGTTGATTTCCTTGAATTCATAGTCTAGTTCTAGAGCCTTTAGTGTGAGGAGTACGGCACGCACCGGTGGACTCATATAGACACCATAAAGTATTAATTTCGAGCTCATTTTACTTGTAATAAAATTTAATTTTCACTTGCAGCGAACTAACTTATTTCTAAAATAAATTATATGGTAATTGTTTATTTTATACTCAGTCGTAAGCTTTTTGTGAAACCATTTTTATTGGAGCTTTAATTATTATTCTCTTGTGAAAATTGTTTAATAATAGAATTTTTCGTGTACAAATATTCGCTGTCATGGCACGAGATGTGGAGTACGATAGACCAAAATATATGTAGTTACTTACGCACGTAGTTACTGGTCGTTCCCCACTAACAGTTTTCGCAGTGTCTGATTTTCTCCACACAGTAGAGCTTTACGATTTTTATCTACCAAATATATGCGGGAAGCTACATTTATTTGACTATTAGTCTTTAATTAGTATTTCTACAAAATATTAAACAATTTCTTATGGTATTACTCATTCTGACACCTTTTTATGTTTACTTATAACAAATTTATTGACGGGCTATAAAATTTATCAATATATATAATCTCAACTGTCATGTGAATAACTCGATAATTATATACAGATTAAAGATGTGTAAACAGTGACAATTGATTTTGTGAATTGTCAGATATCGAGAGAAGTTTTCAGTTTAAAACACTTATGTATAATTGTTATTAGATTAATTAATATCTATAAAAAGCAGCTGGGTTCTACAACTTTGGTTCCTATATTTTATAGATTTTTATTACACGAAAACTCTACCATTTTCTATTCGAAATTGATATCTTGCCATATTACATAAAATTCTTTATTAAACGACAAATCTACCTAAATCTAATACTATTAAATATCAACTTAAAATGGAACGACACTTATAATTATTTAGATGTAATACTACACAAACGCTTCACTTGGTAAGCTTCCTGTCAAAAATACTCTCAAATCTATATTAGCTTATATACTAACTTTCATAAGAAATAAGTTAATGACTTATAGTCATTTTGACTATAAGTTAACAAGTTATCCTCTTTTATCTATTTTTTCGTTTGTTACGGTAAGGCATGTGAAACCCATCTTACCAACTAAAATATCATACTTCTTCATCAGGGAGACCTTCCTGGGACCTTCGAGAATGTTTCTGCTTTTTCTTGGTTTCTTGTCATCTTCTTTGTTTGCTAATACCAAGCATCCAGACTTCCGCATCATCTTTGCTTACTCACGCTCTTCTTCTTTAGGAAATAACTTTTTGGTTCTTATGACGTGCTCAGCGAATCTCGGTAGAGCGTTCCAAGCATCTTTGGTTTGTAGCAGTTTATTTACAATATTTTTTACGTATATACATTCGCCGACATTACCTTCTACCGCAGACCTTTCATTGTCTGCTAATTTACAAATAAATCATAAAGAGAAAGAGATGGCTCTTTCAAAAGTAACGCGAGTAATGAAAGAAAGAATAAAAGTGAGGAATGCATTAAAGTGAATAGTCAAATTCCAATGGTATGTTAGACAATAGGATATTCATAGAGACAATTAAAAAATATTAAAATCTACACATCTCGAGTAAGACATATATTATATATACAAGTGCCCACCCACAGAAAAGATTGAAAGATCTGAAGCAATTAAACTAACATATAAAGGAACTAACATATACTATTTTTTTTATAAAAAAATTGTCTTGTAATTTATGTAAGAGTATAAATAAATTTTATTCTGTGGTATTGCACTGATATAATAATGGATTCATAATATTGTATAGGCTCAAGTATAACCAGAACCGAATATTTATAGTATGTACTTTGATTTTCCTATGTTAGGCATTGTGCTTAGTTAAAGCAACTAGTAGATATTATTATACCTCTGAACCGAATGTGTTAGTCAACATTTTTATTCAATTATTGTAGAATATTGTTTTTATAAGTCAATAGATGTTCCTTTATTTTTAGAATAAAGTATATAGTATAAATTTTGAAATTAAAAACGTTTTGCACTAAAACAGATTTTCTATGAATTATTATGGAAAATAAATGTGGTTTCTGCTATTAAAGTATAAAATTACATTTTATTATTTTTTATTACATAATTATTAATAAAAGTTTTTTCTGTTTATATCTTGGCTCCTGAGTTCTTTGTGTTCTATTTTAATCTATTTTACTTCACAGTATTTCTTAGATTTATATTACTGAACATTCATAACGAATTTAAGCTTATATATGCCACTGAAAAATATGCTTATCTAAAGAAAGGTATTATTTCGAGAGATTATAAAAGTCTATTAAACTAATAAAAATGACCGAAATACAGGTCTTAGAGATTATATGTCACACTATAGAGATGATAAAAAACTAGCTATATTGTACATAAATATTTGGCTATGTTAACAAAAAGAGTACCAATTTTATTCCTATTCAATCAAACACAGTCACCGTAGGAGGCCCTGAGTGCAGTCATATACCAAAAGGAAAAGCTTGAAGACTTAACACTCCCTCTGAAATGTAGGGAGTACCAGTCACACAACAAGCATTGATAAATCATATTCTGCCATTAAAAATAATAAATACAATATGAAATATAATTGGTTAATGATAAACTTATAGTGCTTGCTATATCCTCAGGACTTTACTTTTGGAACGGATTAAGCGGATTTCAATCAAAACCCTGTGTTCTGTAGTTCTAGCACACATGCATCATGCTATCAGGG